TTAGTACTAAACTACAAAAAAATCAAGTTTGTAAAAAATCTGCCAACCTAAATAACTAAAATAATTTGACAATCCTACATTATAGTGAACTCATCTAATTCTGTGACTCGCCTAATAATTCGGTTTAGTAAATTCGGTAGAACTCTTAGGTTTCTAGAAAAAAATCTGATTATTTGTGCTAATATTCCTCATAAAAGACTGATTAAAACTCATGCGGAGACTGAATTAAATTAATTAATAATTTATTGGTATTTTATTACTCAAATGCCTTTCTCACGAAGTTAGATGAGTTCACCCTACTATCTAGTCTTAGGAATACAGATTGACCCTGATTTTTACACCTATGAAACAAAATTTCGAGGTTACATTATCAATTACCTATCGTTCTATTTATAGAAAGATTTATAATATTAGTACCTAGGTAAACACAGGTGCTCTCTTTATGCATCGAACACAATTTATTAAGATAACAATCCGACCGGATCGAGGCGCGATTAAAAATCTGGTAGGAAAAAACACAGACCAATTTCTTGTTCAACCTAGGACTCGTAAGAGTTTTCAAAATAAGTAATAATAAAAGCTCAGACAAAAAAGATCAATTGTCTGTTCCCAAATATATGAGTGAGAAAGTCCAAAATTCAATAACAGTAGGAATATTTTTATCGCACACTAAGATAAAAAGTTATCAGTCTATTGTTAGGCAGAATGGACTAAAAAACTGGGTGTCATTGACTTAATTTTAGATCCGCCATCTTTTTTTTATTAGGTAATTGGTAATTTATTCATCAATGGCGGCTGTTGGTAACTAAGGCGCGAATTTAAAATATTGTTTATGGTTAAATCGTTAGTGTAGTTTACTGCAGAATTTGTTTGTATAGGCTGTTGTTGTTTAGGTAATTTGGATTTAAATTGCAAATTAAACCCAATTATACAGTAGGTAACTACCTACTTTTTCCGCCGTGGCCGAGAGTATCGATATCGAAGCCACAATACATTACAAGCAGCTGATCACCTATATTCTGCACGGAATCTACTCTATTTAGTTACGGATAATAATCAAAAACGCTATAATTATATCAAAAGCAATTCTGAACTAATAAAAAATATCTTTTATCTAAATAGCCCGGTAATATTGCAGCTACTAATGTTTACCGTCACGAAATCGATTCCCCGCATCGGAACAAATATTTGTATGAACTATATTAAAAGTTTTGTTTGTATACTAACCAACGCAAAGTTACCCCATGACGTAGGAGACGAATGGGGTCACTGCTCACTGTTTACAAAGAAATTATGACGAAAGTATTATGTTCTCGTAATACATAACATTGTACGTTTTATTCCCTTGAGGTTGACTTCTCTCGCATTTCATACACGTATGAGCTCCAACTCCAACTAACGAATTTAGTTCCATCCCAGTCTACCATTGAACTTTCGAATATCGAAAAAATTAATGGATACTTACGTTTACCTAGTTCGCTTAAAACCATGCCTACAACCTATTGGCTAGGATATATCGTGATAATTTGATGATTAGAAAAATATGTTACAAAGGACTAAATTTTTTTTGAGGGGGAATATCATCTCCCTACTCCTGCTTCGGGCTCCAACAACCCACGAGGTTGTCCGCAGACCCTACCCTCATGCTACGAGTACATATTGGCAAGTAGTTCAAATTAGCATTAGTATTTCATTCCTGCTGCGGTTGAACGCAGCCAGTCATTACAGATGGGCAGAATAGCACGATCCCCTTTGCTAGCACGTTTGAAACAGAAACAGATCGCGCGGCAAACCATTTATCAGTATTTTGATCTTGCAATACCTAATATTTGTTAGGAATAACATCACTATTGCTGGCCTGTCAAAATTTCCTGTTACATCTTCAACTTGATTGTATTGACATAAAGTCGAAAATCCAATGAATTTTGACAGATTGGAGTAGCTTGATCTGCTGGCCACAGTACAGGCACCTAAGATTCTCTCAACAATATATTGATCACTCTTAGTCGTTGTTGCTAACAAACATACAAATTACTCGTCAAAATTGAACCCACAATGTGTTTCAATACAATGCACCAAAAAGTACATGTATGCACTTGTAACGGCTTCTACAGTCTAAACTGCACTATCAATAAAAAACAATCCTACTTTTGGAAGTATGATAAATATTACTACATTCTGAATTTAGTTATTGCTCGGTTCATTGTATGATTTTTCTTAGGTCTGTCTAAGAAAAATCATACAATGAATCAACCAATCAGTGTTGAATGGGACCTTTTAATATCGTTAAACACTCATACTAATCGCTTTGAATAAAAGTCACGAAAATACTATTAATTAGTTTATTATTCACTTAGTGTGTGTAGGGGCATGGTGTGCTTGTGCGGCAGCCTTCCTCATCTGTGTCAGTACGTTGCTCAGCTCTTCACGCTTCCTCTTGGCACGGATGTGTGTGCCCAGACGACGCTTCAAGAACTTCAGGGCACGCTTGTCTTTTGACACCTGGAGAAAAAATGTATTATCACAATAAATTCTTTAATTCTTAATCTAAATTTAAATGTATTTGGGATACTGTAAGTACCAACCTACTTTGATTGATCTTATTAAACAATGATAAATCTAGTATTACAAAATACATCTACCTATCTATGATAGTTAGTAAATGCTATGTTCACTTTGATCTGGACTGTTCACTCATTACATTTAAACTGTCAAACACCAAGCGGTCACCGGTGACCACAACCTATTGTTCTTTAACTCGTCGAGTACCGTATTTATAGACACAATTAAAGAACAATAGGTTGCGGTCACCGGTGACCGCTTGGTGTTTGACAGTTTAATTGTGTCTATAAATACGGTACTCGACGAATTAATGTAAATACTTCTGCCATAAACACTGAGCCCTTGCCAATTTCACCAATTTACACCATACTGTAGTAGTGGCACTTTTTGCAGTTCAACCACAAACTCAAGGTAACTTTCAACAACAAGATTAGTTTCTAACTGGCTCCTACAGAAATACAGTAGTATTACTGATTACAGTAACAGTAACTATTATTAAACAAGGAAAAGGAGTGCAGGAGTATAAATTTCTACACTCCTTTTCCTTCATTCAGAGAATACAACAATGACTAAACTGAAATGTCTTAATGAAATTATCCCAAACATCCGTATTATTAGCCTTGTTACGTCTAAAGATAGCCACTGAACTTCCGTAAAACGGGGTGAATAGATACAGGAATGAAGCGAATATACATTTGAACATTTTATCAATATTTATTCACTCTTCTGTATCTATTCACCCCGTGTTACCGCTTCATCACCAATATTAAATTAACTAATTGATATTCCTAGTATCATTATCCATAACAAAACAAGACTCACCTTCAACAATTCCATAGCCCTCTTCTCATACTGAGCATGTCCAACGACCTCACGGACCAAATCGCGCACGAATTTTGAGTGCTTGGTTTGGAGCTGAAAGAAAAGAAAAGGTTTGTGATCAACAGATAACCAAGTACTACTTCAAGATGTGATCGATTGCAGTGTGATCAGTGATTCAAGTAACAAAGCATACAGTATTTAGTTCGGTTTCATGGATATAATCTTCTAGATTTGTTTATATACGTGATAAACTAGTACAATAGGGTTCTAAAAGTTACTGAAGAATAAAAATAATTTCGATTGACACGATTCCGCAATGCTAACAAGATTCAAAACATAACCTCTTAACTTGTTTGGTCTAATAATATCTTTGAATACTTACACCCTTTAGCCTGGCTGGCCTGATTTTGATGGCTTTGTCAGTAACACCTTTCTTGCCAGCGGAGATTTTAAGTGTTTTGTGTCCCTTTCGGAGACCGACCGCTAACTCAAATCGAGGAGCCATGCTGAAATAAAAACACACAAACTGTAAGAACAAAATTAACACATCAGCACTATCTTCAGATTATAATAGATCTTAATTCACTATAACAATAAGCAAAATACTCTAGATTAAATAGATATTATTGGAATTTATTTTATTAAAAATTTACGTACATTTCGGATTGACAGATCCGACCAGAAAGAATTTGATTAACTTTTATTTTTATGACTAGTGTAGTGGAGCAGAAAGTTGAAAGGCTGAAATAATGACCATAGAGATTTAGTCGAATTAATAGGTACGAGCAATTAAATTCATGAAATGAAGCTAGTTTTAGGATTTTTAAGAAATATTTAATAAATTTGTTAATTAATATTTTAATGGCTAAATTATTATAAATAAATATAACGAAATATATGTACAAATACAATATCATAGTTAAGTTTAAACTGAAATTACAAATGTTCACGATATCCAAAAAATACAAGATCGTCATATCAGTGATCATTAGTTTCAGGGTTTCATAAGACTAGACCCCTTGGTCTAGTTGAAATAAGGTTTAACGTCCTTACGTCAAATCTTATTATCAACCGTATTCCTTTTTAAAAGGCCGGTAACACACCTGTGCCTCCTCTGGTGTTGCGGGTGTCCATGGGCGGCGCTGATCACTTACCATCTGCTCGTTTGTCTCCTATTCCAAAAAAAAAATATCTTGGACTTGACACAATAATTAGTTATTGTTTTTATTTGGTTGGTTTTTCGTTTTAATTTATCCACGGAATAGTAAAAACAACTTACTATTATATCGATATTTTTTATTATTTATTTTTAATTCACTGGCAATGGTATTGACATTACTGTCAATCGTTAATTTGACGTTGACGTTGACATGTTATGATTTTGTTGTGGACGACGTGCGTGGTACGAGATGTGGACAGTGGACACATTTAGAATCAATTGAAGTTCTCGTAAATTGATTATATAAATTAAACCTTATCACAAGAGAAAGTATTATAAAGTTGATTCTTGTTTTAAAACTATTTTGTTACGACATCTCTAGCCTTTAGAAGTTGTAAAAACGATATATTTATAACCTAACCTATTTCTTGTGAAAAAATCAAAATAATTAATAAAAATGGAAGTTGGAGCAGTAAAACAAGCTTTCAATACTGAGGTAATAATATTTCTTTACTATTTCATAGTGATTCTCGTGAAAATGTAACTTGTTTCATTATACAAATGTAATTCCTAGTATACAACGATTTTTCTTATTCTGTTTGCTTTCTAATGCCCTATTTTATCAACCAACTATATGTTGCCATATTGATTATCATATTACAGTCAATCTTACCTAAACTTGCTTATATAACTGTCCTTTTTAAACATTAAAACTGACAATCTTATATAATTTTCAAATTCCAGGTGATATTGTTGAAAAAGAATCTAAACCAGGCCAAAATACAGATAATTCATAAGTTGACAAGAAAAGCTAAACAGCTGACCGAGAAGAAAGCTCCGGAACAACTAAAAGAAAAGTTAAAAAGGAAAGCAGAGTCTGCTGTCAAAGAAGTACTAATTATAAAGGTAAGATAAGCCGTTACTATTTTTTTTATGTAAAAGCTGCTTTGTACGGGAATAAAACCTGTTATAATTATGTTGCGTGGCAGCCAGTAGCCCAGCCACCGCGCCAAATGTGCAGTCAAGTCAATTTAATTTAGTTAATCAATTTATTATAACTCTATTGCATAGAGAAAAATCTCATTGTTTACCCAACACAGGAAACAAACTTAAGATTCCTTGCTTGGTAATTGAACTATGCAACCAGCAAGATAAGTAAAAAATTGTATTTTTTATATGTACCTTTCTAAAATAACATTTGTTTTATAAATTACAGAAAATCAAACCCAAGGACTTAGCTAAATTCATGGTCACACACAAAGGAGAATTGAACACTTTTTTGAACAAACCTCAAGTTGATGAAGAGAAAGCCTGTGCCCGACTATTACTCCATAAAGCCTTGCAGGACAAGTACAAATTTATAAGGAGCAGGTTCTCAAATGTACCCATCCAAGACCTATTTATGTCTAGACTAGAAAGAAGGAAGATGAAGAAGGAAGCTAAAGAGAAGCAGAAGAATAAGAAGAAAGGAAATAATAAAAATGTTGTCAATTCAGAAGGAGATTGGGATGTTGAGGATGTAAAAGGTGATAGCAAAATAAGTGATGATGAGGGAGATGATTCAGGTGATGAAGGAAATTACATGTCTGATGACGAAAATGATGATAATGATGTATCTGGTGATGAAAGTGATCATTCAGTTGGAGGTCGTGTGTCAGATGATGAATCTGAAGATAATGCAGTTGAAAATAAAGATTCAGATGCTAGTGTAGAGGCAAATAATGTTTCGGATGGCAATGATGAAGACGACAATGATTCGGATGGTAATGTAAATGAAGATAATGATTCTGACGGTAATGACGAAGATGGTAGTGATTCCGATGGTAATGAAGAAAACGAGCAAGAAGCCATTGAGGAAGTTAGTAAACCTATCAAACCTAATCCTAAAATAGTCAAACAGGCACAAGTCAATGTTAAATCTAAGGAAGAAAAACTAGAAACAGTTGATAAAAAGACAACAGAACCAGTAGAAATTAAGCCTAGAATTAAGGCTACCAAAAAGGATCCAGCAAAGAAACAAAAAGAATTGAACAAAACAAAGAATTTCAATGAGAAAATACTTCAAAAGAAGTTGCAAAAGAATGTGAATGCTCCTGTAGCCGAGAATAAAACAGTAGATCCATTCTTTATAACGGCGACGGGAGAGAATTACATGTCTGTAGCAGACCGTAGAGCTCCAGATGAAGTAAAAGAAGAACATATGAGAGGCAACAGGAAAATGAGAAGAGCGGCCATGTTTGGACATGTTCCAGCAAGAAGACCTAGACAAAATAATTATAACAATGATAGATTTAATGGAAATGACAATGTTAGGGGTTTTAAAAGAAAATTTGATGACAAACCGCAGTTTGATAGAAGGAATTTTAACGATAAAAAGAACTTTAATGGTGGAAACAAATTTGATAATATCAAGTCTTTTAATAATGATAACAATACTAAACGAGGTTTTAATAGGGACGATAAACAAGAAAAATTGCATCCTTCTTGGGAAGCCAAGAAAAAGAAGTCAGGTATTTTACCATTTGAAGGTAAAAAGATTGTTTTCGATTGAATTTGATTTTATTATGTTTAAATAAATTATATATATGTTTTTAAGAATGTGTTTTCCTTTTCTTTCTTTTTATGTTAGGCGCTCAAGTTTTTATATTTAACGTCTTTTTAATCCTTGAAGAAGTAGCGATAATTGTACCATTTAAACATAAATAAAATTGGCTGTCTGTTTGTAATACTAAAATAATCGCTTTTTACTACATGCATATGAATATACATACGATACATACACCAAAAGAACATTTTTAAAAGTTTTGTTTGTACTGTCTATTCTCTGGCATGGCTGGACCGATTTTGACGATACTTTATTGGCGGATGTACTAAGGAGTAACATAGGCTACTTATATTTTGGAAATTTGAAACAAAAAAAGTTATGTTCTAAAATCCATATCTTAACTCAGCGGAGAAAGTCGCCGCCAACAGCACAGCTAGTATGCAATACGCATAATTATACCTACAATGTAACATAAGTATGTACATACTTCTATTAGATTTTTTTTTTTTTTTTTAGTTACAATGGAGACTTCTTCGTCATGAAGCGTTGTTGTTATTAGTGATGTGCCACTGAGAACGTTCTCGTTGCCGGCAATATTGCCAGTGAGAATATTCTCAAGAAACTAGAACGCTCCCGGGAATATTCTCAATGTTCTCAACAATATAAATTTACTTCATAATTCGATGTTTTTGTACATTCATAGATGATATTACGTACCTACAGTGTTTCTGTTTTATTACCTGGGCGCTAGGACTAGTCCTTAGAAGCAAGGTATGAGTGAGTAAGTGAGATATTACTGTCCTGCTCATTCTTTTCGTGACGAACGCGCGCCGCGTTTCGCGTTACTTGAGTCAGTGTGTTTCTGACTTTTAAAGGCTTAACACGTTGCGTTTATCACCGTTATTTTTGAATTTTAACAATGAGTAAAAGAAGCCCAGTGTTGGATCATTTTACGCGTATAGAAGATAACGACCGCATCAAATTTAACTGTAATTACTGTGGTGAATTATATACTAATAGAAATGCCACTAGATTTGTTCGTCACCTGATAAATAAGTGTAAAAAGTGCCCGGAAACTGTGAAGTGCAAGTTCGGTAAAAATAAAGAAAATGTATCAGTTCATAATAATTCAATAAATACTACAAACCATGATGAACCATCGACATCGTGTGAGAATCGTGAGATAGTTACAGATACTAGTAATGCTATCTTGAATCATGTAAGTACATTCACTATACCTACATTTTCGGGCAAAAGCTAATATAGCTTTACAATTTTAGATTAGTAATAAATTTGTATAAGATAAGTTTATTTCTAAAAATATAAACAACGACCATTAATTCCTACTACAATTAACAGAGATACTATTATTCAATTCATTCTTATAAGAGCATTTTTGACTTGCTAGGTAAAACATATCGTCGCTTATATTTGCTAGCTAGGCGTGTGCAACAACGGTGATTTTTAGTTATAATTCACTAACGTCTTTTGTTTTAGGATGAAATACATCGTCTTCTCTCAAGAGCTGTATATGTCACGGGACAACCGCTATCACTGTTTGACCATCAACTTTGGAAAGAGGGGCTCCATGCATTAAATCCCAACTACAAGCCACCAACGCGTAAAATGATGGCAACAACGCTCTTAGATGTAGAATACAATGACGTTAGAAGACAAATTCTAGAAAAAATTGGCCAAGCAAAAGTATTACACTTAGCGGTGGACGGTTGGTCCAATGTACGAAATGATTCGATTCTTAATGTCATTATTTACACGCCGCAACCATTTTTTCATCAGTTTCTGGAGACGAAAACCCAAAGGCATACGGCGGAGTTCTTATCTGACGAAATATCAAAAATTATAGAGGAACTAGGGGTTGAAAAGTTTGTGGCCATAGTTACGGACAATGCAGCAAACATGGTTAAATGTGGGCGGTTACTCAGCAATAAATACGATAATGTTGTGTGGATTGGTTGTGCAGCTCACACTCTACATTTACTCATTGGAGATATTTTGAAAAATGACAAAATAAAAGAAATATTTACATTCATTGTTTCTATTGTGAAATCGGTCACGCAATCACATCTCTTGAATGCGGAGTTCAAAAAAGTTGCACAAGAAAACTCAGTGACAGTATCCCTCATCTTACCAGTCAAGACACGCTGGGGCAGTTACTTACACTGCATTGAAAACTTTAGAAAATCAAAATCATTACTACAAATACTGTCTGTTAATGAGAACAACAAAGATATGCATAAATATAAAAATAAAATTTTGGATGAAGCTACATGGGTTGAAATAGAGCGGCATGCAAACATTTTTAAGCCAACAGTAGATTGGATAACTAAATTAGAAGGAGACAATGGAAAAATTCATTTAGTTCACCAAGCGTTTACAGAAATAGAAGATTTGCTTCATTCCGAAAATGCAATCCAAATATTCGAAAACCATTTAGAAGAAATATTGGCTAAGTTTACACAAAGAAAACAAAACGCATTAAAATCAGTTCATTTTGCAGCCGCTATTTTGGACCCTGGCAACCAAGGTACAACTTTACCTGCTAACGCGAATCTCGATGGATGCCAGGCAATAATGAACATTGCACAGTGTGGATACGGGACAAACGGGCCAAGAATCCTTGAAGATTTGGCAAATTACAAAGGACGAATTGGCATTTACGATAAAAGTTTTCTTTGGGAATCAGCATCCACGATTCAACCTTTGTCTTGGTGGAACGTATTTTTTCCTAACTCAGATTTGGGAAGAGCTGCTTTAAAAATTTTATCTATACCTTCAACATCGGCAACCGTGGAAAGGAGTTTCTCAACATTTTCTAACATACATACCCAGAAAAGGAACAAATTAAAGACTGATCGAGCTGGAAAACTGTGTTACGTGGCTCATAATTGGAAGCTCATGAACAAAACTCCTAATTCCTCAAATAAGACACAAACACAGAGTCACGAATTATATTCTACGATTCAATCGACGTCGGCTACCTCAGCAAACCACGAAAGTGATTCAGAACATGAAGAATCTATTGAAACTTTTGATTTTGACGAGTTTCAGGATATTCAAGAAGAACCATTACTTCTTGAAGATCGTCTAGCGATAGATTAGAATAATTTTCTAGTACGAAAACGATTTTATCATACTATTTAAAAAAAATCAGAGTACAAAGTGTTAATTATATCTGAAAGCCGTTAAATATTGTTAATTTTAATATTCTTTGTTAATTTTTAGATGTTTAGTTCTGATTCGATATTTTTTTAATCATAGTCCGTTGATTTCATCTTTAAATAGCTGTTGATTTATTTTAAGTTAGTAACTTACTTTTTAGTCAAATTTAAAAGGTTTCACTCAATGTTTGTCAATATTGGAGTAATTAGTGAAATTGATGTTTTCTAGTCTCATTAAACGGAGTTGATTGCGAAATATTGTTTTATTTTGACCATTTTATTTGAACCTAAAACAAATATATTATATTTAATGTCAAATAAACGAACATTTTTAACCGTCCATTATTTCCATACGTGTAAAAAGAAAGTACAAAGAAAAAAAATATCAAAGGTACAGTAATGCTGAGAACATTGCCGAGAAAGTTCCCGAGAATATTCTCGAGAATATTTACTAACACTGGGAATATAGTCTTTTACTGCTAATAAAGTGTATTTTTTATACTCAATAATCTGTTGACTTTATTTGATACTATTTTATTTAAGAAAAAGATGGTTGTTCCCATTAGATAAAAATGATTCTCAGTCATTCTCACTTAGGAGAACGTTGCCGGGAACGCTGCCGGCAATATTCTCAGGTAGGAGAACGTTCTCGAGAACGGCACATCACTAGTTGTTATACACCATAGTAAGGGATATTATATGTAAATGATATTAAATGTGAAAAAACCGAAAAGCCTCAATCATATTTAGCACGATTTGGGAATCCAACAGTCCTTGATTGGAAACCGCAGTATAGTGACCACTTAGACTATACTCAGTACAGTATATTTAGGTGTCGCGGAGAACCTAACGGGTTACCGGGGCTCCGGATCGATGTGCAGAAGGAACGGGGTGGTTTTTAGTCAGTAAGAGTCTGACACTCCCTCCCGCCTCACCCAGGCGGGAGCAGTAATTTGTTGATTTTCCACCATTAAAAAAAAACAGTATATTTAGGTACATACATAAATCATGTTATGTTTATCTTGTCATTAACGTTAATTCAGTTGCATCACAACTTGTTTATACTGCCGCTCAAATTACACCGACCGCAAAACAGTGCAGGTAGATGTCTATACCTATACTTACCTACTGCCCGCCTATAAGCAAGCAGTATAGTGACCTATTTGTGGCTCTTGTGGGCCTACAAAGCTAATATACGACCAAGAATTTACCTACGTGGTAATACCTGTAGATAGGTACATGAATGATGTGAGGACAGTAAGTAAGCAATGAGGTTGTGTACTTAAATATTAATACATAAAATATTAGCATTTTATAGTATAGGTGCTTTGCTATATCATGTCGTGTACGTACAATATTTTTTTAAGCCTTGTCCTACACTTTTAGATTTTCTTCTGTGTCGTGGGTGCATTTACAAACACACAATTTCGCATACCTACCTACACATAGTTTTTTTCAAATCGTTACCCCAATTTAGGACTTTCTACTGTGTCGTGGGTGCGTTTACAAACATACAAGTTCACATACACAATAACACCCAGACCCGAAACAACTATGTATTTGTGGATTATAAAGAATTGCTCCGTCCGGAAACCAACGAAGTTCAACGTACCAACCACTGCACCAATCGTCCAATTATTTCATTACATTAGTTACTATATACATTAGTATCGTAATATCTGGTTATACCTAGGACCACAAATTAATTACCTATTTAAGAATTATTAGACCGCAATTTTTATTATTGTTATTTAGTAGGTAGGTAGTTCACTGCTGATCTCGTGACCATAAAGTCGTCATTAGTTTTACTTGTGTATGCTCTCTTTT